CTTTAATTTTTGTGTTTTGAGGGAACAGTGTAGGGCACAAAAAATTATTCTGGCGGATAATTTTACCGTAGAACTGTATGTTTGGCGCGAGAGGGTCACGAAGTCCTTAGCCCCACCATAATCACTAAGCTTTCAGACTCACACAGCTACGATCGTTCCTGGGATCACCGAGGGAACAGTATCTTTCACCGAACTCCCTGCTGTCGGTACTACACAAATCCTCGATGATTCACTTGAGGCAAAAGTGAGCCAAAAATGAGACCCTTCCTTTTCTTCATATATTTTTCTTGAGAAATGTACCCATATATACCTGTTCGCGTTTCAGCTTCATCGTTACGCCCGTATGTCAGAATCCGACGCTCCCATGAGTAACGAAGAGATTGTGGGTGTTACTGAACTCCCTGCCGGGCTCTACTTTAATGGTAATCATTCGTAGATGAGCATTTGGTATTTTATTGATTGTTTTATATTTACCTCATTTATTGATTTTCCCTTTTAGTAGGATAACTACCAAGTGTTTCAGCCCCAACGACGTATCCGCTCTCCACAAGCAGTGATCACTGCTTCTGTGCCTTCAGTTGACCCTACACCTGCCGTCAATCTCCCTGATGAGCCAACTGAAATTGTTGAACATGAGCAAAAGGTAGTCGTTACACATTCTTCATGTTGACTATAGCTCGGGAGACGATCTGTAAGCGTTTCAGCCCCTCCGACGCGCTCGTGATTCACTAGGAGCAACTTCGGATACCGCTGCTGGACCTAGCCCACAACCTACTGAAGGTCCCCTGGAAGGACAGGTAGCAAGTCAGCTGTTTTATATTATAGAAAGGTTATAATATTGAGATTTACAGGTAGCGGGGGTCCAACGGCATGCTCGCTCTCCGCAAGAATCGGTTGTGTCTCCTTTACCCATCGATCACACCCCAACTGCTGCTGTAAATATCCCTGTTCAGCCGACTGAACTAGTTGGGCCAACAGCACAGGTAGTCAGAAAACCCTACGTCTGCTATAGCTCGGAAAAAATGCGTCGTATTTCAGCCCCTTCGACGCGCTCGTGATTCACTAGATGCTTCTCTTGGAGAAACCTCGGAGAGCACTGGCCTACACGCTGATCCCACCATGCATTCTGAGGTTGCCCAGGAAGGACAGGTAACCAGCTTGACTCAACTTTGCTATTGTTGCTACATTGTATATCCGATAAATCAGATGAGTAATATTTCAGGGTGATCTCCTCACTGGAACAACCCATTCTCCCATAAATACCGGTGAAGTCGCTGATGTCGTTGATCCCGCTCAGGTCGCCAAGGTTCGAACTGCTGAGCTGTCCGTGTCCAAGGTTCCAGAAGGAACAGATGGAACTGTTCTTGAAGGCTGCATGAGCACTCTACTTCAACATTCTTTGTATATAACTGAGAACATGTGTGTATGTAGATACTTCCCAAGAAAAACAGAGATAAACATTGCATCTTCAACTTTTGTGTGGATGATTGGTACGCCTATGCTCTATAATATTTGGCTTTACGTTCGCGAGTCCAATGAGGCAGCTATGCACTTCTTGACTCCCAGGAATACCAGGCGCCTTAGCCTATTATGAGTAGTGAACGGAGCCCTTGGAGGCACAAGAAAGTAATGTTCGTTCCCACGCGGCTCAGCCCAGTGACTGATAGCGGCTGGTGGCCACTTGTCATGATATCCTCCATACAGCCATGTTCTTTACTGCGCAGTAGTGAACATTGGTACCGTTACCTCCCTGCTTGTTGGTATTTGCTCCCATAATAATAATTATAATAATGTGAAACTGTAGGGGAAAGTCGTGTTCCTTCTATTTTTCGACGTGGAGCTGACTGACGCAATGCCTTAGAAAAACCATTTGATCGTGTCCTGGGTAACTTAGGAATTAGCAAATGGAGCGCTCAGAATAAAGGCTGACTCAGTCCAAGGCTCAATCCCCCCGTGCTTATGCACTGGTCGCCTTAACATCAAGACTCCATTTAAGTACCGCGCTTCGCGTGCACATGTTCCGACGTTTCGCCCATGGAGCAAATGAAAGACCTTGCTTGCACAGTGTCCATTGGCAGTTGACTGAGAACTCTGAAAAGTGGACTTGGCAGGATATAAATAAGATGGCAAAGAGATCAGACATGCAGTAGGCTCTAGCACTGGAGTAAGAACTCCTGCCGCCTGAGGCCCGCCTCGCGCAGAGTTCTACACCCCCCCCACCCCCCTCCCCTCCCCTCCGGAGTGCTAGCTAAAAAGCGCAAGCCGTAAAGAAGACTCCGCTGCTGGAATGCCAGACACATCACAGTCTGACCCTTGCCTTGTGACGGGAACTCCATCAGAGTTGGATCTCTACACATTCGCGATTAAAAGCAACAGTTCAGGAACGGTTTCGCGGGAAAAAACCACCAATAATGAAGTTGTAGATGAAAACCAGACGATTAATGTATGAAAAACTGGAAAAAAACGTCGGGGAGGGTCTTAGACAGGTACTCTCCCTCTGCCGCTCAGCAATGGATAAAGACGCACGTTGGACGAGTTGTCTGAACGTGCCCGCTGTAAACGCGCTCCATTTTTCAATCAATTTTCCCTGTGGTCCCAAAAACGAGCACGATTGCCGACGCGTCCAATGACGGCCGGCAAGGGGGCGGGATTGGGGAAATCCCCAAGAACACCCATGTTTGAGGGACTTTCCACCCTGTTTTTGAGTTTCTGAGGTAAGTTCGTTTATTATTTCCACTGCATATGTTCTTCACTAGGGCTCGTGTATCCCTCAGTAGTAGTGGCATTGAAATTTTCGGACCCTCCCTGAACTGTTGCTTTAAGATCGCAAAAGTCTATCCGAATTAAGCTTATTTCGGAAGTGAACAAATCCAAGAACCGAATTAGCCTCTGTGCGCTGTCCTCACACTCCAATCGGAGTTCCAATTACTCCTTATCTCCCCCTTAGGGCGGAAGTGGTGTAGTGGCAAGTGGCACGCTTACCACGCGAGCGGTCCAGGGATCAAATCCTGGGTCGTGAGTCGCCCGGGCCAACCAAGCCTTCCATCCCTCCGGGGTCGGTTAATTGGTACCAGACTTGTCTGGGAGGATAAAAACACTGACTTGTACATCGGCTGGCCCCCGCAAGTCATTGTATAGGCCACATCGCATTCAAACGCCACTACGAATGTACAAAGTCGAATGCGTGTCAGCAAATCTAAAAAAAAATCCGAAGGAACAGTCTAATCCAAAAGCTAGCTCGATATTACTAAGACAAAGATGAAGAGGATACTCAATAATAAATCTATAGTAGCAACACAACTCATAGAAGTGATAAGAATAGCCGTCGGTCCGCAAGTAGGAAGGAGGTCTGAACATCTTTGAAATTTTAATGACCGACCGAGAAACGATCTTCTATGGTTGCATTGTTTACTTCGTGCGTATTACCCGTAAACAGTTTTCTGCAAAAGCACTGATAATGTCACAACGGACCGAGAGTGATATCACATTACCAAGTTGACGTGAACGCTGATGACAAAAATAGCTGGTTTTTCTTATCGGTACACTCGTGGTTCTTCAAAGAACAACGTAAACAACGAGAAGACGTCTTCTTTTTCTGAGAGATGAACCGAACTGACGAAAAGCCTCGGAATTAGGAAACAGAAGAAATGCAAGAGACGGGTTGACGAGGACCACTGGAGGGAATCATGGAACGATTAGAATTTAGAAGCTCCAGCGTTGCGATGAAGGAAGAAGAGGAGATGCTTCCGTACAAAACCATGGGCCATCTGGTTCTCTCACCAGCTTAAAAGATTTGAATGAATCGTGGACACCGAAGGGTTCTGAAACGCCGAGGTAAAACTGCTATGCAGTGAAGATGAAAACGGAAAGAACTCCAACCAGATGAAAAGTGAAATTTTGTAACTCAAAGGAAGAGCGCGAGAAGTGGACACAAAATTCTAGGGATGTGGGCTACGAAAAAAATCCGAAAGCCCGATTTGAAGGACGACCGCTTACAGCTTTTCATTCGATGAGGGTAGGAGGGAGAGGGGTTATTGACGAAAGGATGCTGAAACTCTTCCAAACAGCGTGTAGGTTATCTCATATCTAAAGCACCAATGCGAAGAGGAACAGTTGACCATGTAAGCTAAACATCCTGATCGGCCTCGTGACTCTAGATAAGGAATCCATGAACGTTCTATATAAGGTAGCTCCTTCGTTCATAGGCAGCACACCATGAAGTTCACTATTCTATTCACCTTTGCCTTACTCTCCATCGCCCTCAGCTTACCTCAGCCAAGTAAGAAGTCCAACCCAAAGGTAGGTTTTAACCCTCTTCAGCCAAATATTACATTTTTTATAGAGGGCTCAATCGTGTTTGTTGAGCATCACCGATTCACACGTCGTCCACGAACTCTTCCTCCGAGAGAAGGGGAAGCGTCAGATTCCACCGATCTCCCTGTAGAAGCAACTCAGCCAATTGAACTTCACCGATTCTCACGTCGTCCACGAACCGCCTGCCCAGAGATGGCAGTAGGCGTCCAATTCCAGCGATCTTCCTGTAGAAGCAACTCTACCAGTTGAGCTTCATAGGTTCTCACGTCGTCCACGAACGGTCCCTCCTAGAGAAAACGAAGCGTCGGATTCCACCATATCTCCCTGTAGAGGCAACTCGGCCAGTTGAACTTCACCGATTCTCACGTCGTCCACGAACCATCCCTCCCAGAGACGGAGAGTCTGGTTCACCGATCTAACCGAGTCGACGCAACCGGCCAGTTGAGCTTCATAGGTTCTCACGTCGTTCACGAACAATCCCTCCCAGAGATGGAGAAACCGATCTACCTGCAGAAGCAACTCACCAGTTGAGCTTCATCGGTTCTCACGTCGTCCAGGAACAGTCCTTCCTAGAGGAGAAGCGTCGGATTCCAGCGATCTCCCTGTAGAAGCGACTCAGCCAATTGAGGCTTCCCGGTTCTCACGTCGTCCACGAACAGTCCTTCCTAGAGGAGAAGCGTCGGATTCCACTGATCTACCAGTCGACGCAACCCAGCCAATTGAGCTTCATCGGTCTCTCAAGTGTCCTGTCCCACGAACCATCCCTCCCATGCAGCAGGAGTCTCAGATATCCTTCGCTGATCGTATTAAGATCACCTTTGGATCGCTAAAGGAAAAGGTATTTGTTACTTCATCGTTAAGTTGTGCATTACTTAGGTGAGGCTATGATGTTTCAGCTCCATTGGCGTACTCGATACTCCAACGACCACTCTACCTCCTGTGGTTGGTCCTCTCACTGACGCAACTCAGTTCGCCCCCAATCAAGCCGTTGTGGTGTCTGTGGTGCCGCAGGGCCACACCTCTGATGCTCCTGACGCCACCGTGGAAACAGTTTCTGTGGCTGCATGAGCCCTCTTCGCCTATTGCACTTTGTATATACTTGAGAGCATGCATTTGTAAATACTATGTGTATACTGTAAAAAATAATAAATCGAATGCTAAATAAGTGATTCGGCTTTCGACAATGCAGGATTTCCAGTAGCCTCTTTCACAATCCTGATTAAGATTTATTGTTTGGAAAAGTCGCACCATCTTAGCTGTTGACTAAAGATGAA